TGGGGATGCTCATCCGGCAAGGGACCCAGATGGCCCTTCACCCATCGCTCGTCATGAACCTAGACCTTCAAGATCTGGTGGTGATGTAGGACCTGCCGACACCCCCAAAATTCCAGCAGCAGCAATAACAATAGCAGCGGCAGTAGCAACAACAGTACAGGGACGACTTCGCTGGCATCAACCATAACATCTACAACATGCGCCAGCAGTTCGTCCAGATGTCCCTGAGACAAGATATCTTCGAGACCCGGCTGGAGACCTTCGGGCAAGAGGGGATGAGACAAGACCTGGTACTACTCCGGCAAGAACATCTCAGCTCAGTCCAAAGCCAGGAAGAGTTTCAAAGACACATGTATCGACAGTTCCCCTCTCCAGGATCGTCTCCCGGCTCGAGTCCGCCGCCGTCTTAGGGATATTACCCCAAAATAACTGTCGTAATAAATTTTACCATGAATAAAATATTTTTCCATTCGTCTTTACTCTCTCTGTTCGAAAAAAGTTAGTGTAACAAAAAAGACTAAAAAGTAAAAAGACTTACGCTTAGTCCCGAAAAAGCCAAAATCCAAAGTCGCGAGAAAAAAGATAAAACCGCGGAAAAAGGCAGGATTAAAACCAAAGCGATAGCCAAAACAACCTGGCAAGACAACTACATTGACCAATAATTTTTCGACAACCAGCAAAAGTCGAACGACCAAAGAATCCCCAACAACCAACAAGCTCGATGACTATCAGAATAGTCGAAAATCAAAAGATCCCCGGCACACCGGAGGACTCTACCAAAAGAAAATATTCAAAGCATCAGCGCATGATCAAAATCAGTAAGCCGCCACCACAGCCGAAGGGCCAGCTACCGTATCGAAGGAGCATCCTGAGGCACCTAACCTGATGAGGGTTCGAACTCATTAACCAAGGGGTCAGCTACCGCATCAAAGGAGCATCCTAAGGTTTCTCAAACGGTGCATGGGCTAGAACAGTAAGCCACCACCACATCCAAGGATCAGCCCTGTTGCAAAAGGGTATCCAAAGGATACAACTTACCACCACCTAAGGGGTCAGCTACCGCATCAAAGGAGCATCCCAAAGGAAAATCTCCATTAGCCAAAGGGTCAGCTACCGCATGAAAGGAGCATCCTGAAGCATCACCAAAATCTCGTCTGACGGGTCAGCCTCCGCAGCAAGGAAGCATCCTAAAGACAGTACTAGACTACATTCATCATTGTGAGGGTCAGCTGCCGCATCGAAGGAGCATCCAGAGGATAGCCGAACAAGAGGGTTAACTCCTTTACCCACCAATTGACCTTATGGTACGAAAGCCCATAGTCAATTGGTCGAGAAAAGGGGGGGGGGCAATTGTAGACCCCAAATCTTGTCCGGTCGCAAAATAAATAGAAGAAAATCTCCAAATCGAAGATGGGCAAGGCCTAAAAGGTCCGTAAGATAGACTATTAGGCCCCATATTAGAGTAGGAAGGCTTTTCTGTACAAAAAATAAGGATTTCCACCTTGAGGGTCGAGACTGCCGTCTCGCTTATCGGGACCATCGTCTTGTCATTGGCAAAGTTGAGACGGTCGTCTCGTCATTGGCAAAGTCGAGACGACCGTCTCGTTTGGCAAAACGGCCCTCTCGCCACTTGCCATGGCGAGACCGCGTTCCCGTTTGGCGAGACGACCCTCTTGCCATTTGGCAAGTCGATACTACCGTCCCGATTGGCGAGACGGCCGTCTCGACCTTGCCAGGCGAGACAACGGTCTCGACCTGACAGGCGCAAATCCCTATAAAAAGGGGGCGCTCGCCCCTTCATTTCACACAGTTCTTCCTCCTTTCCTTCTAGCATTTCTCAAAATTCTTCTCCTAGAGCCCCTCCGAAGCATTTCCGGAGTTTTCTGAGTGTCTTTAGAGAGTTTTTTATAGCGTCGTAAGAGAGAAAAGTCGACGTTGTAGAGCGAAGGGTTGTCAAAATGCACCCTATTTTTAAAGAGAATTAATCAAAGCATGCTCCGGAGGTTTCTTCACTCTCTCCATCTCTTTACTGTCTTTTTACTTATATTAATTTGTGTAATAGCTACTAGGGCCATGTAGTCATTATCTTTTAATTCCACAAATAAAAGGGTAAAAGCGTCATTTTTAAAAGTTTGTTTATAAAATAACCGGCCTATCATAGGGAACCCGAAAGGGGCGTTGTGGGGGTGCTAATACCTTCCCCACACGTAACTAACTCCCTTACCCAACTCTGGTTATAATGGCCAAAGTTGGTTTTCCTTAAAAACCAACGCCTTCTTTTTTTCCTTTTCCGATGTTTTCGGTAAAAACATCGGTGGCGATTCCATAAGAACCCTCTTCGAAAATTTGCTTTTAGGTCCAGCCCGGTTATCAGACAACCTAAAAGCTCCCTTTCGAAAACCTCGCCCTTGGGTCTAGCCCAGTTATCGGACAACCTAAAGGCGTTGTAACACCACCCATATAAAACGCGAAAATGGAAGTCGGAACCATCGCGTCGCTCCGACCGCCTCTGTTGACGGCGATGACAGAAAGGCATGAGAATCCTGACTTGGGTGGGTGACTTAGCATTGGATTTCTGACTTGTATGCGTTAGAAAATATATTGGAAAGTGCTGTTTTGGGAAATATTTTTTTTAAAAATTATTAATTATGTAAAAAAGTCGCAAAATAATCGATCATAATTTAAAATAATCGATTATTTTAAAATTATAATCGATTAGTTTAGCATATAATCGATTATAAATAGTTGTAGGTTTCCTTGCTCAAGCGATAGATTTTCGCTTGAACGAGAGTTGACCACAGGTTAAAGCTTCAACACAGTTAGCCACATAATGCAACTTGGGTCACCACATATTTCAATCACTTCTTGCTCGAGCGAAAAAAATATCCGAGATTACCCATTAGTTTCAGGTCTCCTTGCTCAAGCGAAGGATTTCTCGCTTGAGCAAGAGAGAAATAATCGATCATAATTTTAAATATTCGATTATTTTAAAATTATGTCCGATTATTTTAAATTATAATCGATTATAAATTTCCTTGCTCAAGCGATGAATTTCTTGCTTGAGCAAGATTTGACCATAAGCTAAAGGTCCAACGCAGTTAGTCAATCACTTCTCGCTCGAGCGAAATTACCCATCGGTTGAGCGAGAATTGACCACAGGCTAAAGGTCCAACGTAGTTAGTCACATAATGAAACTTGGGTCACCACATATTTCAATCACTTCTCGCTCGAGCGTAATTACCCATCGCTTGAGCAAAAAAACACCCGACATTACCCTAGTTTTAGGTCTCCTCCGCTCAAGCGATGGATTTCTCGCTTGAGCGAGAGAGAAATAATCAATCATAATTTTAAATATTCGATTATTTTAAAGTTATCATCAATTAGTTTAAATTATAATCGATTATAAATTTCCTCACTCAAGCGATGGATTTCTCGCTTGAGCTAGAATTGACCACAGGCTAAAGGTCCACCGCAGTTAGCCAATCACTTCTCGCTTGAGCGAAATTACCCATCGCTTGAGCGAGAATTGACCACAGGCTAAAGGTGCAATGCAGTTAGCCACAAAATATAACTTGAGTCACCACATATTTCAATCAATTCTCACTCGAGCGAAATTACTCATCGCTTGAGCGAAAAAACATTCGACATTACCCATTAGTTTCAGGTCTCCTCGCTCAAGCGAAGGATTTCTCGCTCGAGCAAGAATTACATCGCTTGAGCAAAATTAAACCCTACAATACCCGTTAGTTCTAGGTCTCCTCGCTCAAGTGATGGATTTCTTGCTTGAGCGAAAGTATCGTGAACAATAAAGAGTGTTAGTTGAGTAAATAATGTTCCGAGATGTGCTATTTTGGAAAATATTTTTAAAAATAGTATTATTTATGAAAAAAGTCCTAGAAATGAGTCTCGTTATTTTTAAATAATCAAATTTTAATTAAAACAAAATATAATTGAAAAAATCGAAACAAAACTGGTAAAATCGAAAAAAAATCTATTTCTTAAATGAGAAATCTACAAAAAGTTCAATGTGAAATATTAAGAAATTTTGGTACAATCGATTTTTTATGGAAAGTGAATTATTTGAGTAAATAAAAATAAAAATAATACATTTTCTTGAAAAAACAAATCCATTGATGCTAATAATTATTTATAAAAAATATAAAATCTAATTGTATTTTTAATCCTTAAAATTTAGAATAATTTTTAATTTGATTCGTTAAATTAACAAATATTTTAATTATTCAATTTAAAAAAAAAGATTAATTTAGTCTTTAAATATTAAAGTTGAGAAATAAAAAAAATTCTAAAACAATTTTTAATTTTTAAATTTACTTTTTAAAGATTAAAATTATATTTTATTTTTTTAAGAGGTTCAAATAAATATTCTTTATTTAGATAAACTAAAAATTATTTTCTCCAAATTTTAAAAATCTATATACAGTGAATACGAGGAGTTTTGAACCTTTCAATAACTAATTAATTAATTAAAAATTGCTAAGTTCTGAATTTAATGAAGCCAATATATAAATATGAATATATATATTCCATTTAAAACAACCCAATTATCTAAAAATAATATAAAAATATAAAATGTTTAACCTGTATCATGATCACTAAAAAATAATATAAAAATATAAAATATTTAACCAAAACTTTCTATAATATAAAAATATAAAATATTTAATCAAAGTAAAATTATTTTGAAAATTTATTTTTATATATATATATATATATTTTATTAACAATTTTAAAATAATATTTTTTTTTATTAATTGAAAAGCAAAATAAAATAAAATAGAAAAATAATAATATAAAAATGAGTTATTAAAGGTATGTTTTTGTTTTTTTATGTAAAAAATATCATAAGTTGGAAAATAAAAACACATCTCTTATAAATATTCAATTTTATTTTCACCTCCTGGTTTTTAGACCATCCGAACACACAGATTAGGCGTTTTCCAGTATCTCTGTTTCTTTTTTCCTTACAAAGTCAGAAAAAGATGAAAGCTTCTAAGGTAACCGTGAAAGGTGTGGCTCTCATAATCGGAGACAACAACGTTAGAGGTTCTCTTCAGTTTCTTCCGCACCCTAATGGTCTCTTTCTCTCTTCATTTCTCTGAATTTGTACTGTATTCAATTAGGAATGTTGAATTGCTTAATGGTTTGTTTCATTGAGACTGTGTAGGGACCACCCATGTGACAGGGAGAATAACAGGGTTGTCCCCAGGCTTTCATGGCTTCCATATTCATGCTTTTGGTGACACCACCAATGGCTGCAACTCCACTGGTTCTCTCTTCTTTTCGTTATTTATCATCAAACTTGTACAATTCCTCTTACACCTATCTTTTGTAGTAACATTAAAAGGAAGGTTTACAATTGTAAAATCGGAAGACTGACAAAGAAGAGTTAAAAAGCAAGCGGGACAGAAATCCTATATTCATTTTGGATTGACTTGTTTTGTTGGGTTATAATCCAATTCTAGAAGGAACTTACTAGAATAAAGAAAGAAAAGAGAGTTTAATTGGAATACATTGAGATTGTAAAGATTTCTTTTATATTGAAATCCAATCATGGATTGTCGTATGACTAAAAGATATTAACTTTTGTTATGATTACATTCAATGTACAGTGTGGTTTATTATTGGTTGACGGTGTACGATTAACTTAAGCTAAACATGCAACTTTCTATTTAACTTGGACTTCTTTGCCTCAGGTCCTCATTTCAATCCATTGAAGAAGGATCATGGGGCTCCTTCAGATACTGAGCGTCATGCTGGTGATTTGGGCAACATTGTTGCAGGCCCTGATGGTATTATCTGCTTTCTTTTACATATCCCCATTTTGGTATTTCTGACTAGTTTTCATGAGTTGTCTTCTGGGAAATTTCGAAAGGGCTTTTATGCTTTGCAGGAGTTGCTGAGATTTCTATTAAAGATACACAGGTACAGAATTAAAATTTGAGTTTTGTTTGGTGTTAAATAATGTTACTTTAGTAATTTGTCCTCTTTGTTCTTTTAGAGAATCGCCTCATGTGATTTGATTTACTACCCATCTGCACAATTAAATCAATCATATGTTCAAATATGTTTTTGTTCTGCAATGTAGATTTTTCATTGTATTGTTTTCATTTGGTTGATAAAGCTTATGAAATTTAAAAGTGTCGCAACCGGGGGCTGGATGGTGAAAAGTAATTTAATTTGAGTGTTGACAGAAAGTAACTTAATTGGGACTAGAACATTTAATTTCCTCTTTCTCGCTTTCAATATGTAGATTCCGCTAACTGGAGTTCACTCCATAATTGGGAGGGCTGTTGTTGTGCATGCTGATCCTGATGATCTTGGAAAGGGTAAGATTTAAAAATTTAGCCACAGAACTTGTTCAGTTGGTTTCTTCTTGTTCCAACTTTGAAATGTAGCTTTTCTTTTCCCCATTGTAATTTCATTGAAGTTATTTTCCTGTACAAAGCTTGTATTGAATATCCTTGATTCTTGATGTGGTAACATAATGTGTGAATACTTTTGTGGCCCAGTTTAATACTGTTCTATTATAAATACACCCTTATTTTTATATACGCATCAGCATGGCTGCATATTAATTTTATTTCATATTACAAATATATATTAAGCTGAAATCCTGAAGATTAATTATTTCCTGACCGAGAGTGACTATCAAATCTTGTCCTTCAAATAATTCAGCTTCTTCAATCGATAGTATGTTTTCTTTTTGTGCTATTCATAGCCGTTCTAGTTTACTGCTGCTCTGCCATTTATTTCTCAATATACGTGCATGTTCTGTGTAAAACCCACATCCAAGTAGCTATGTAGTCTATTGTTAGGAATCCTGATATTCCTAATAATCTTGTAAATGCTGTTGAACCAAACAAGGCAGAACATTGGTTGGTTTATTCTAGGAAAAAGAAATTTGTTAATAAAAGTAGTTAGAAGTTGTTAGTTGTTTCTGTTCAACTGTTTCTGTTTAACTGATCATGATCAACTATTAATAAGCGATGATAGAAGTGCTTTGGAAGAAGGAGGATTTTTAGGGGGGTTGTTTTGTAAATCTGGCAGAGAACCTTTGTCTGAGGAGCCTAGCTCTGGAACTTGTTGGTATTCTTGTATCTATTCTAGAATTCAAGAAGATTTTCTTTCATTCTTTCTTCTTTATCTTGGCATTTTCCCTTAAAACCTATCATTGGTCCGATTTGCCGGATCTTGTAAGGAAAATTCATCTAGAATTTTTTCAATGACGAGACGTGGAGCACCTGAGACCGTGCGGGGGGAGGCGACAGAGGAAAGATTGAGTTCCTTGGAAGCAAAACTTGATGCCTTCATGGAGATGGTGGCAGGAAGGTTTGAGGTGTTAGTGGAGTTGGTGCGAAATTCTTGTAGCAAGCATACAAGAAGGGAGAATGATTGCGGTGAAGACCGGGAAACATTGAACGAATTTCGTATGATGGCCAAGAAGGTAGAACTACCTTCTTTCAATGGGATGGACCCTAGAGGGTGGATTACTAGAGCTGAGACATATTTTGAGGTGCAAGGCATTTCAGAATTTAACAAGATTAGATTGGCAAGATTAAGCATGGAGGGGGGAACCATCCACTGGTTTCAAACGTGGTTGGATTCGGAGGACACTCCCAGTTGAGAATCATTCAAGAATGCTCTAAGAATACGTTTTGGGGGTGGACACTTGGATGATCCATTGGAGGAGTTGGCTGATCTTAGGCAGGAGGGTTCGGTGGAAGAGTATATTGAAATCTTTGAGTTTCTTCCTGCTCAAGTGGGTCGTTTACCAGAAAATCAGTTTGTAGGCTTCTTTATGAAGGGATTGAAGGATCAAATTCGATTGCGGGTGCGCACATTGCAGCCCAAGAACCGACTGGACGCCATTCGCATGGCAAGGTGTGTGGAGGCCGAGATTTGTGGGACGGTTGTCATCAATGTTGCTAGAAGTAAATCTTGGAGTAATAATTTGAATCTCTCTCGTGGATTCAGAGGAAATATGGTGCATTCTCAGCAAGAAAACACTCAAACGCGTGGTGATGTGAGGTCTAAAGGAACAACCAACGGTGATAATTTTTCTGGGAGGAGATATGAAGCTTCAGTAGGGTCTTCATCTGTGAATCAGCGGAGTTCCCAACCGTCTTAGAAAGATATGGGAGTTAGGCATCTTTCTAATAAGGAGGTTGAGGAAAGGAGAAATAAGGGGTTATGTTCTAGGTGTGGAGACAAATACCATCCCCTACATGTGTGTGCTGACCGGCAGGACAGACAGTTAAGGTTGGTGATTTTGGGTGCCGATGAAAATTTCAATGATGAAGAGGAGATCACTAGGGGTGAAACTGATGATGTGGAGATTGAGGGGGAACAGTTGGACTGTAATTCTATGAATTTGTTAGGGCTGAATGGTGATTATCATGGTGAAATTCATGTCATGAGATTGGAAGGAAAATTGGGAGAAATTCCTATAATTGTACTAGTGGACAGCGGGGCCAGCCACAACTTTATTTCACCCAAAGTGGTCTAGGCTTTGGGCTTAATGGTGGAAGAGGCTGATGGTATTGGAGTAAAATTGGGGGATGGTCGTAGGGCTAAAACATGGGGTATTTGTCCTAAAATTCAATTAGATATGGGTACAATTCAAATACAAATTGATGCTCATGTTCTGGAGCTTGGAGGTTTGGATTTAATTTTGGGAATGGCATGGCTGAAAACCTTGGGAAAAATGGTTATTGATTGGAAAGACTTGTCCATGTCTTTCCAGGACAATGGACGTGTGGTGGAATTAAGAGGTATTGGTAGCAGTAGAGAGAAGTTGATTCCTTCATTCAATGAGCTTCTTGGTGATCAATTTTGTACTGTAAAGGGGTTAAATTGGAAAAAAGGGAGTGTTGAATACAACTATGGGAGATAGTGACTTGGAGCAACAACAGCTACAACAATTGCAACAATTACTGCAACAGTATGCCATCATATTTGAGGAGTTGCAGGAATTACCACCTAAAAGTAGGGATGGCAAAACGGGGCTGGGCCTGGCGGGCCGGCTTGCTAGCCCGCCATAATATGGCGGGGCGGGTTGATGTTTTCAGCCCGCCCCGCCAAGCCCGCCAACCCGACGGCCAACTCGCGGGATCGGGCAGAGCCATCCCTCGGCCCACCTAATTAATAAAAAAATATTTTTTATTGTAATAAAATTAATAATAAAGATAATATATAAAGTTAAAAATTTTAAAAAGAGAATTAAAAAAGTTTCACTCTTACAAAAAAATATTCTCCCTATCGAAACATAATTTTCTCTCTCCTGTTCTCCTTGTTCATCCTAAGTACTAATTATTTTTATCTTTATGACTTGAATTAAAGATGTAAGAATTACTCAACCAATAATAATATGAAGTTTTATCAAATAAAAAAGATATAGGTATTTGAAATTTTCAATATAAAAAATATAAATTTTATAAGTTTTAACGTTTTATATATATATATATATATTTGTTATTATTTATTATTATGTAAATTTAATTATTGTTCTAAATTATAATTTCTTAAAATAATGTATTGATTTATATTATTAAATTGAAATAATATATATATATATATATTGAATTATTGACAAACAAATAATAATCTTATTATAAAATTTATTAAAAAAATTATTTTAAAAATAAATTATTTTTTTCTAAATTATAGCAAGGGGCGGGTTGGCGGGCCAAGGTCTACAGCCAGTCATGATTATAACGGGCTAGCCCGTCCCTCCCCGCTTTTGGCGGGCCAAAACGGGGCGGGCTGACCCGTTTTGTCATCCCTACCTAAAGAGAGGTTGAACACTCTATAACTCTTTACCCAGGTGCGGGCCCTGTTAGCGTGAGGCCATATCAATACCCCCATCATCATAAGGATGAAATTGAGAAACAGGTGAGTGAACTCTTTGAGGCAGGAGTTATTAGACGTAGCAACAGTTCCTCTTCCAGCCCTGTCATTTTGGTTAAAAAGAAGGACTCTTCATGGAGAATGTGTGTGGATTATAGAGAGCTTAACAAGGTGACAGTTCCCGATAAGTTTTCTATCCCTATTGTAGATGAATTATTGGATGAACTGCATGGGATGCATTATTTTTCTAAGCTGGATTTATGTTCAGGGTATCACCAAATACGTGTGAAGGAGGAAGACATCGAGAAAACTGCTTTTAGGACACATGAAGGACATTATGAGTACTTGGTTATGTCTTTTGGGTTGATGAATGCCCAAGCTACATTTCAATCTATCATGAATGAGGTTTTTAGGCCTTTCCTTCGTCACTTTGTTTTTATTTTTTATTTTTTTATGATATACTGGTTTATAGTGAGAGCTGGTCTGCCCACATATGACACTTATATAAGGTGTTGGATATTCTGAAGAAGCATGAATTTGTTGCTAATAAAAAAAATGTAGCTTTGGAAGAAGACAGGTTGAGTATTTGGGTCATGTTATTTCAGAAAAAGGGGTTACTATGGATCCTACCAAAATCAGCAATATTTTAAGTTGGCCTATTCCAAAGAATGTTAAGGGAGTGAGAGGGTTTTTAGGGCTGACTGGATATTACAGAAAGTTTGTGTTGGATTATGGGAAGATGGCCAAGCCTCTTACTGAATTAACTAAGAAGGAAGTTTTTGTCTGGAATGAAAAGGCTGAAATAGTTTTTCAGTGGTTGAAGGAAGCTATCACTACTGCTCCTGTTTTACGTTTGCCTGATTTTTCACAAGAGTTTCAGATTGAATGTGATGCGTCTGGTAGTGGAATTGGGGCTGTTCTCATGCATCATCATCATCCTATAACTTTTTTTAGTAAGGCTTTCTTGGCTGGATAGTTGTCCAAATTTGCTTATGAACGTGAGTTGATGGCTTGGGTGTTATCTATTCAACATTGACGCCACTATTTGATTGGCAGGAAGTTCATTATTTTTTCAGACCAAAGGAGTTTGAAGGAGTTATTACAGCAGAAGATTACTACATCAGCCCAGCAACATTGATTGTCTAAATTGCTTGGGTATCAATTCTCTATTGTTTACAAATCTGGGCGTGAAAACAAGGTTGCGGATGCCCTTTCTCGGGTTCATGGAGAAAAACAGTTGAATTCTATTATGTCTTATCCTTTATGGTTACAGGGGGTGAGGAATTAAAAAAAGAAATTCAAGAAGATGAATCTATTCGGCGAATAAAATCTGAACTTTTACAAGATCCTGCTAGACGAAAAGGGTTTGCTGTGTTAAATGGAATTTTGCTTTATAAAGGGAGTATAGTTATATCAGCTAACTCTTCTTACATTTCCAAATTATTGGAGGAGTTTCATGCTTCTCCTGAAGGAGGACATTCTGGATTCTTAAAAACTTAAAAACTTATAGATGGCTTGCTGGAAACGTTTATTGGGTGGGTATGAAGAAGAAAATTTTGGAGTATATACGTGAATGTGATGTGTGTCAACGTCAAAAGTATGCTGCTACTTCACCAGGGGGATTGTTGCAGCCCCTTCCTATCCCTTCTCATATCTGGGAGGATATATCTCTAGATTTCATTATTGGGTTGCCCAAATCCAAAGGTTATGAAGCTATTTTGGTTGTTGTGGACAGGTTATCTAAATATGGGCACTTCATACTCCTCAAGCATCCTTTCACCGCTAGGACATTAGCTGAAATTTTTGTGGCCCTGTTGAGCATGCATAATGTTTTCCTACATTTTAGAAACTTAAGATAAATATTTTAACAGTTCCACTCAAGCTACAAAATACAAATTATATGTATCCAGCTTGTTACAAATGAACCTAATATGGGGAACCCCTAAAGGACTTGGTGAGAATGTCCGTTGGCTAGGTCATATTGGTGTTCATGTAGTTGCGGAGAATACACTAGAGAGTGCCTTTTCTCTAATGAAGTGACACCAGAATGTTGGTTCTGTCATGAGAAAAGGGATAAAAGGCACTATAGAAGGCTGCTTGGTTGCCACAAAATAGTTTCATTTAAGAGATCTCTATAAATCTTAGTTCTAGAATTAGTTGCTTAATCCATATTAGCTTACATTAAACCAAAATCATAGCATGATATTCTACTTTTGTACTAGACCTAGTCACAACGTCGAACTTCTTACTTTTCCAAGAATAAGACAAGATCAAAATATCCCAAGATAGAGAATGTTTATCAAGAGGGAACCTAACTGATAAGAATAAACTACTTATCACCAAGATATGCACCTGCAAGAAACGAACAAAAGAAGCAACAATCCTTCACCATCAACAATAAGGTACACAACACTCAAAGGATGAAAAACAACCAACGATTACAACCTATCCAAAGGCATAACCCTTGGAATAGAGATACAACCACTCGGAAAAGTTGTATCAATTAGGAACGGTTTTTAGAAAAATATAAATTAAAGTAATCCAAATTAGGAAAGACACGAAGGAAATTAGGAAGGAATTATATTATGGAGAGATAGACTCTCGAAAACCTGTGTTATAAAAATATCTCAAAATTATCTTTATAAATTCTATTTATTTTTAATCCTAATTAAGATGACAAATTACAGATAATCATGCAACGCCTAATTATTGATGTCACCTCTCATATGGGTTATACTTTGAGGGATCAAAAGTTATTTTACAAGGAGAAATTGGTGTTATCCAAGTCTTCCTCTCGTATTACAATCATTTTAAAAGAATTTCATTCATTCCTGGTAGGAGGACATTCAGGTATCTTCAAGACTTGTAAAAGAATAACAAGTCTAGTATAATGGGAAGGGATAAAAACCAACATCAAGAATTTCGTTGTTGCTTGCAAAGTTTGTTGAACATACAATGATATGATGCTTGAAGATTTTGATGATAATTCAAGAACAAAGGACTTAAAGACTTGAAGCTTATAATCATTTGTATTTATTTGTAATAACTCTATTTTGTCTTGTTGAGTCTGTAAAATTAGAGTTCGAGGTAGCCAACACATAGTCCATCCTTTATTTTAATCAAAAAAACACTATAATAATCACTTATCACTCAGGATAATCGATTATCACTTAAGATAATTGATTATCATGCTTTGAAACATATTTTTTGAAAACCTTCCTGGAATAATCAATTATCTGGGTTGATAATCGATTATCCCAGTTTGAAAGCTCTGGAATAATCGATTATCAAGCCAGATAATCAATTATCACTTAAGATAATCAATTATCAAGCCAAATATTCTCTCTACTTAAGGTTCTCTAAGGCTCTCTGCAAAATAACAATCCTTTTTCATACAAAAGTTAAGAGCTGTGATTGGTAGAGGACTTTGTGTAGGGAAGAAAAAGGGGCTTTTGAAAACCTAGTGTGGGCTAGAAGCGATAAGAATCACTGAGTGAGTTTCTTGGTGGATTGTATGTTGTGCCGTCTCTAAGAAAAACTGTTGTTCATTCTTTGTGGTTTCAAAGGAGGTGTTCATTTCTTGTGTGACTCAAGAGAGGTGTTTTCTATTCCTTATCTTTTTCAATTTGTAATCTGTTATAACTTGTGATTATAGTGACAACGTTAATCCTCTTTTAGAGTGAGTAACAACTGGACGTAGGGTCTTTTGATCCGAACCAGTATAAATCATCTGTGTAATCTTCTTTCCTTTATCTCTTTACATTACAAGCATTTTAATCGGTGAAATTTGGGGAAAAATTTCAAAACCCTAATTTTTTATAAGAAACCAATTCACCCCCCTCTTGGTTTTTGTCCCTAAATGCGAATATTCCGCTGCACGATTCTAACAAAGTTTGTCAAAGAAACAAAAGTGAAAACTTATCTTTAGCAGGACTGTTACAACCATTACCAATCCCACTCAAGTATGGACAGATATTTCTATGGATTTTATTGGAGGACTTCCACAATCCATGGGGAAGGATACAATCCTGGTAGTGGTTGATCGACTCACTAAATATGTCCACTTCATGCCATTAGGGCACCCCTACACTGGTACCGAAGTTATTGCAGTATTTCTACAAGAAATTGTGAGATTGTTGTCTTCCATTGTTTCAGATCGTAACCTATTTTTAAGCAATTTCTTGAAAGGCCTTTTTAAAGCAATAGGTACACAACTAAAATTCAGTTCAGCATACCATCCCTTTTATTTGCGATGCTTAACTGGCACAAAGCCAGAGAAATGGATCTCTTGTCTTCCTTGGGTCGAATTCTAGTTTAACACCAATTATAATGCTTCCAGCAAAATCTCCCTTTTCAAAGCATTGTATGGACATGATCTCTCTCACATTCTTTAGGGAACCACTATTCCTCCCGCCTTGAAGAGATCAGCAAGTTTACAATTGCTCGAGATGAATTATTGGCTACTCTAAGAGAGAATTTGCTAAAATCTCAAGATGTCATGTGAACAAATTCTAACAAACACCGATGTGATATAGAATATGCAGTCGGTAATTGGGTGTTCTTGAATATGCAACCTTATAGGAGAAGGTCCTTAGCTAAAAGGATTAATGAAAAATTCTCCCCTCGATTTTATGATCCTTTCCAAGTTTTAAAAAAGTAGGTGTTGTTGTTTACAAATTGGATCTTCCATCTTAGAGTAAAATTTATTTAGTCTTTCATGTCAGTCTCCTTAAGAAGGCATTGGTGATTCCTCTTGCCCACATAACTGTAATAGTGAGATGTGAACTTTAGTAATGGCTCCATCAAAATTCTTAGGCTTAGTCATTTTTAGTCCACTTTTTGTTGCTCCTCGTAACACCTACCTTTTACCATTTATTCTATACTCCATTGTCAGCTTATCAAAGGAAAGTCACAACAACCTAGCGGAATTAGTCTGACTTAAATGTTATTTGTTGTATGGTCCGCATGAAATCTTTAACCATTGTTGTTACTGTTAATCGTGAGTTTCCTGCTACAACCACATGCATTGGGTTTTGCTGTTTAATCTTACACCTCAACTTTCGAGCCACCGATATAACCAAAAAGTTATATGTTGAGTCGCTATCTGTGAAAATGTGTAATGGTTTCTTGTTTGATATCTAGTAACTCTCATCGTTCTAACGTTGGCCACTCATGTTAGCGCGTTTACTGATATTAATGGTTATTGTTGTTGTTGATCTATTTTTTTCCTTTTCCTATTCATCATCATCTTCCATTTCAAGAACATGTAGATGGATCTTTTTATGTGTTAACCCATGCTCCAAACAATAGGGCTCATCACAAAAATAGCATAACTCTTCTGCGTGCCTTTCACTCATGTTCTGGTGTTAGGTTTCTTTTATGTTTGGTTCTTGTATTATTAGTTATATGCCTTTCAACGTTCGGCCCACCTCCCGTGCCACTGGATTTCGTCCAGCTAAAAGAATTAGGACCCAAGATACCCTTTTGTTTATTAGTAGTTGTTTGCAACATCGTCGAACTAGCTGCTTCATACAACCGAGCCATAGAAAACACTATTCTAATAGAAAACATATGTACCATCATCTATACCTCTATCATATTCAACTTTATCATTATTGCATCAAATTCTTCATGGTGTTCACAAACTGATTGTTTTTGTCGCAACCTTATCAACTCCACTATCGGGTCTTCGCTTAACTCTCAAAATCTATCTGTTAATAGTGCGTTATATTATTCCCAAGTCATCATCAGTGAATATGATGCAGAATGGGTCATAGCTGTGTGCTAGTGCAAGGCTTTACCTTCCAAGTGAATAATTGCAAGCTTAACACACACATTGTCGGGGTTATTGTCAATCAAGAAATAGTTCTTGAATTGATGTATCCATTAAGTAACACATTCACTAAAAAATCGAGGAAAATCAATATGTAATAATCTCGTGCCATGAGTACATTGGTTGCAAATTACGACTTCCTCTTGATCCCATGTTTCCAAGAATGCCTCCTCTCTTTTCCACGTGGATCTTGATCATTTCTTAGAACTGATCTTTAAGAGTTTCTGCTAACGTTGACTGCAGCCACATCGATCCATCGTTTCCATGAATGCCTCCTCTTTCTTTCCCGTGGATCTTGATCATTTCCTAGAACTGATCTTTAAGATTTTTTGCTAATGTCGACTACATCGATCCTACTATCTCTATCATTCTTGATTCTATATCTCTATCATTCTTGATTCTAAACATGAATGACGATGCTGTTCCAGGTCCTTCATAGCTGCTACTTGTCTAGTTGACTGTGCCATCTAAAATCCTTCAGGATCACTTGGTTGATACCAATTGTTAAGAATCACGTAACTAGGTGTAATAGAACATGGTAGGAAACTGAAAACCAAATTCTGAACAAATCTTACTAGAAGAAAATGTAAAGTACTATGCGTTGATTACAAAGCGTGCCCAAGACAATGCTATTCTTAGCTTTATATAACTGTCCTCTAATTATTCTCTTAACGGCTAGCAACTTTCAACTTTTATTATCATAACACTCTCCGTCGGTGGTGGCGCGACATGAGGAGTGAGGCACGATCTGAGAGGTGTTTGGGTGGTTGTAGCGAGGCTTGGGTGGCTCGCGGTGGGTCAAAATGGTGGCTAGAGGAAAAGTGAAAAATAAGGGATTGGTGTGTGGTGGGTCCAAGGGCACAACAATGGTAAGGGTGAGGGAGAAGGGTTTGCTACCGGAAAAAGGGGAATGGATGAATGGATGAGGTGGAGAGGACGGAGATTAGGGCTGGATTCACTGTGGTTGGTGAGACGGTGGGAATGGAGGTTAAGGTGCTGAAGGTTTGCGGTGGCGGAGGAGGCACAATGGTTTTTGGGTGATGCGAGGCGCAATGGCTAGTATCGAGAGTGGAGGGCAAAGGTAGCGGAGATGGGACACAGGCGTACTGCCTTGGATGTTGTCCGCAGTGGATGCTTGCTACAGGTTTGGGGTGATGCGAAGGTAGATTGATGGTTAGGATAAATGAAGTTGGAGATGGCTGATGTAGGTGGGGTGTGGGTTCGCTATCGTACAGAGGCGTGAGTGGGGATGAAGAGGACAAGACAGAGTGAAGGTGAAGGGATGGAGGGGAGCAAATGTGAGGTAGAAGTGGGTGTCGCTGTGGTTGAGGGAAAAGAGGGGAGGTTTCTACGTGCTTCTCTTCTCTCTCATGTGTGTGTATATATATATATATAGTTTTTTTTCTACTTTGTTTTTATTATGTAATTAAATTTTGATAAAAAGAAATAAAATTAAAATGTAATTAAAAAAAGAATTTTTTTATTTTCTTTTTTATTTTTCTTAAAAGTTAATTGAAGATTTTGTTTTTTTGAATATATTAAAGATACATTTTGTTATTTATTTTTTGGATAAATTTTTAATTACTAAACAAAATTGAATTTTAAGATCTATTTTATATTTTTTAATATATTTAATATTTATAATTTTTATTTATTATTATGAAAGGAATTTTTATTATTATTTTTTTATAAAAAATAATATTATTAATAAATTTATTATATATTATTATATTATAAAAATATTATTTTATTAAATTTTATTATAATTTGGTTGAATCTTTAAACTTGAATAATGTGTATTTAAAACATTATTATGTTTACATGAAATAATTTTTTGTACTAAAAAAATAAGTTGAAATAACTTTTATATATATTTATTATTCAGTGTTGAAAAAAAATAAAGAAATTTAGTATTTAGGGTGAAGAGAACAATAACCAAAGCTAGCTAGCACGTAGTACTGGTCTTCAAATTTTCCCGTAAAATTTTTAGTATTATGCTTGGGTAATCTTTAAATGAGTTCTTGTCGGTTCCCTTTTTAATGTCTCTAATGATGTGGTCTGGTTGGTTTGTTTGAGCTAATGGCTTGAGAATGGAGATTTTTTTTTTTTTTTTCTTGAGCTTGTTTGAATTTCTAGAGTTCGGGATGGACTAAAATCTCTTGATCAAGACCATGAATTCACTATTTTGTTTTTGTAAACTTACCACCAATTTTTTTGTTTTTGACTTTTCGTTTACGATGAAACAGCTGGGCATGAACTTAGCAAGACTACTGGAAATGCGGGTGCAAGAGTAGCATGTGGTAACACTTACTTTTCTTCACATAGCTTTTGGACACTAACAATTTATAATCTATTCCACGAGTTTAAATGATTGCATGCAAGTGGCTTTGGTACCTCTGCTGTAAACTTTTTTCTTTCTTTTGAAACTATTAAATATGCAGGATTTTTAAAACACATTCTTAGCCCAGGTGATAAGTACTTCTTGAGTTATACCATGATAAGTTACTCTAGATGAAGTGATTTTTAAAATATAGTATTCTCACTACAAGAAAATCAAATATTTTCGACGAATTTTACTGACTGATTTGTAGCCGTCGAAAAATGAGTCATTATCAACGGATATAAAATATTCGTGGAATTTGATCTTACCGGCGAATATATCTATCAGTAAATTAATAATTAGTTACCGACGGATATATCCATTGATAAATCTGTCGGTAAATTAATAATTAATAAGTTAATAATTATTTACTTGATGAGATATATTTGTTCAGTAAATTCGTTGGTATATTAATAATTAGTTATGGATAGATATATCTATCGGGAAAATTATATAATAATTACTTAATTTTAAATATATTTTAATAAATTAATTTATTCACATAATTAAAAAAATAAATATTTTTTTATTTAATAATTTAATTTAATCATAATTAGATTAATTTATTAAATTAAATAATTTTAAAACATAAATATTTAATTATATATAAATATATCAAAATATATAAATATATTGTATTTATATATTTACATGGATATATATTTATTTGTATATATATATATATATATATATATATATATATATATAATTTATTTATAAATTATTATCAAAAAAATTTAGTAGCTTAGTGGTTAAGGTACTGGGTTCAAATCCTACTAATGACAATATTCAAAACTATAAAAATATAATGGATAGGGGGAGAGAGGGAATCTCTAAAAAAATAAGCTATAAATATGTAAAATATACAATAAATAATAAAAAACATCTGTCTGTAATTTTATACAACATTTAACGACGAATTTTTGTTGTTTTGGGAAAAGTTAATATTTAATTGTTTCAATAAATTACATAGTGTATATGTTATATTTAGAATGTAGATAAGTTTTTTTTTTTCTCCTATAAGTGTTTACTATTAAGTTAATTCAAACGTACTTTAAATACTATATGTTAAGGTAGCATTCAACATTAGTGTTCAATTTGATTTTGCATAGTTTGTTGCTTCTTGCTTAGTATGTTGAAACTTGACAAAGGCTTACTATGTTGATCAGGTATCATTGGACTGCAGTCATCTGTTTAGGTTACATTGCCTTTAGACTATGTATTCGCATATGCCATATAAAATGTATTGACTTTTGCACGAAATTACAATCTAAGTTGTAACTATTTGATAACATAGAATTTTTGTAATCTATATATTATCGTCTCTTTGTCATAATTATCAAATAATACATTTGGGTATTTAAAGACTAGAATTTTGACTTTTCTATATTCCTAATCTTAACTAGCTAAAATCGTAATCTTAACTGTTATTAATTGATAACAGTATCGTAATCCTTGATTCTTGTCTAAAATATTTGCTTAACAAAAAAATATATTCAAACTAACATTTAATTTTGTTAGATATTTTAGATATTCTAATATTATAGATATTATTAGTCACAATATATATATATATATATATATATATATATATATATATATATATATATATCATATTTATTTGTATGACTCTTAATTATAAATATATTATATGCATTTTAGACACAAGTGAATTAACCTTATACTTAATTTTAACTATATTCAACATGGTATCTAGAGCTTAGTGTTGGTATCCTGCAGTGGAATGTTTGCGTGTAAGACAAAAACTAAGACGGGGGTAAATTGGTTTAGAATAAAAAAACTAAGGTTTTTAAAAGACGCCACCACATAACTTCGTGACAAGGAAAGTCCCGAAGACAAAGACCTGCGCATGAACAAAATCAGTTAGTCATACCAGTCCTACAAAGTGGACTACCAAATCAGACGGGGGTTCGTACTCGTCAAACCAGATGAGGGTTTGTACTCATCAACCAAGGGATCAACTACCGCATCAAAGGAGCATCCTGAGGTTTCCAATTTGTCAGCTATGGGGTCAGTTACCACATCAAAGGAGCATCATAAGGCTACAACAATTAGACGGGGGTTCGTACTTGCCAAACCAGATGAGGGTGCGTACTCATCCAGTACTACGAAGTGGGCTGCAAGTTTTACAACAACCAGATGAGGGTTCGTACTCGTCAAAACCAGATGGGGGTGCGTACTCATCAGGCCTTACAAAAGGGGGCTTAAACTGAATTTTACAACCAAAGGGGTCAACTATGGCATCAAAGGAGCATCCCGGAGGATCACATTCAATGTCTAGAAGGTCGGCTACCATGACGAGGGAAGCAACCGAAGGATAACCAGGCAAGGGGGTCAACTCCTTCACCCTCTAGCCGATCTTTCGACATATTGAGTAAACAGTCGGCTAGTCAGGTGAAAGGGGGGCAACTGTAGACCCCAAATCTTACCCGACTTCAAAATAAAGAGCAGAAGACTTCCGTTCAAAGATGGACAAGGCCTTAAAGGTCCCTATGATTGATCAATAGGCTCCTTATTAGAATAGGAAGACTTTTTGTACACAAAAATAAAAAATTTCACCCAAAAGGTCGACACCTCCGTCTCGTTTAGCGAGACCGTCGTCTCGCCACTTGCCAAAGGCGAGACGGCGGTCCCGAAAGTCGAGACGGCGGTCCCGACCTCGTCAGGCGAGACGACGGTCCCAATCTGATAAACACGAATTTCTATAAAAGGGGGGGGTCTTCTCCTCATTTTCTACAACTCTTCCAACTGGATATACCTTAAAATACTCTTCTAGAATCCTTCTGAAGCATTTCTAGAGTCTTAGAGTTCTTAAAAGCATTCTAGAGTCCTTTGAGAGAAGAGTGAGCAGCATTGTAGAGCGTGGAGTTTGCCAAAAAGCGCCCTTTACAAGAGCATTTATAAAAAACTTGCTTCGAAGGTTCTTTTATTTCCCTTACTTTATTTTATCGCTTTTATTAGTTATCATCTCTATGCATTAATTCTTAGGGTCATGTAGTCAATAATTTAAATTTTGCAATGAATAAATAAGGGTAAAAGCGTATTTTTAATGTGATTTGAAAGTATTGGAATGAGTGCAATAATGTATATTTATGATTTTTTCAATTTTCTAGGGGGATTTGCAGTGCAGAAAATTAAAATGAGAACCTAGCTACACTTAAACTATTCTAATCTTATGCTAATCTATGACAGAACCTAAAACAGCGCAGTAAAATTTATCTAAACCTAAAACTAAGCTTCTACAGAGATTAAAGCAAGTAATCAACACAATAAAACCTAACTACTGTGATTGTAAAACAATTAAAACATCAAAACAGTAAAGTCAAAGCAGTAAAATGCAAAAATTTAAAGAAAGCAAGAACAAGAACTGTGGAGCAGATTTGGTGGAAGCAAAATTGCAAGATTACTGCGTTTTTGACACTGTGAAAACCTAATTAATCAATCAAGCATTCACCATACAGTTCAACAAAGTGATAGCAAGCTTCAATCCTCAACCGAGAGACATCCAGAAGCTAAAGCAAGTCAAGAACACAAGTCTTAAACAAGTTGTCACATGCGATTCAGTTCCAGTAGATTTTGTTCGGTAAAAACCTAATCTAATTCATGAATTCAGTAAAGGAAGAGAAATAGAAAGAGTAGAAGACGAAGATCCAGAACCAATTCATGAAAAACAGTGAAGAAAATGGAACACATACATGGAGAGCGTGATGGAAGCAATGAAGAAACCCATGGAGAGAAGCTTGAGCGTGAGAGAGAAAACCAGTGCAAAGAAAATGCGATTTTGATTGATTATGAATTCTACAACTTCGACTACTTGTTTCTATATTAAGTTAATCTAATATAAGCTTTAACTAATGTACAATTACAATTTACAAGGCCCATAACTGGAGATAATTCAATAACTTGAGATAGATGTTGAAGAGTCGCACTATCTTTGCTTTAGTGCGATACAGCGTAATTCAAACACTTGTAGAAAAATGATAAATAAAACGAGTAAACCAATGTCAGTACTCGTATACAATAAAATACAGTTAATTTATTATTTTTATGCAGAATTTTATATTAAGGCTTCTAAAGGTCTAGTAATACAAATTATAGTTAATTAAGCTTTATTAACATATTATAAACAATAATATATGTCGCGCCATCAAAACGAGGCGGTCGGAGCGACGCAATGGTTCCAACATTCCATTTTTCGCGTTTTTATTGGTTTGGTTACAACGCCTTTAGGCTGTCCGATAACCGGGCTGAACCTAGGGGCAAGATTTTCGAAAAGATGCTTGTCGCCGCCGTCTGAAAAAGAGGCGGTCGGAGCGACGCAATGTTTTTTTCGACCCTCTTGTTTTTGCGTTTTTTATGGGTGGTTACAACGCCTTTAGGTTGTCCGATAACCGGGCTAACCTAGGGACGAGGTTTTCGAAAGGTGTCCTTGGGTTGTCCGATAACCGGGCTAACCCAATGACTTGTTTATTTTGGGTTCTATGGAGTCGCCACCGATGTTTTTACCGGAAACATCAGAAAAGGTTTTTAAAAGGCGTTGGTTTTCGAAAACCAACTTTGGTCATTAGAACCAGAGTTGGGTAAGGGAGTTAGTTACGTGGTAAAGGAAGTATTAGTTCCTTTACTACGCCCCTTTCGGGTTCCCTATGACAGACCAGTTTTTATTGTTAATAAATAAACCGGAAAAGATGTTTTTGCCCTTTTTATTATGCGGAATTTAAAGTGATGACTACATGGCCCTAATCTATTGCAAAATTAAAATTAAAGCGTTAAAAGTAGAGAGGGGGAAATTAAACCTCCGAAGCAAGCTTTGTTTTATATTTCTCTTTGAAAAGAGGGTGCTTTTTGGCAGCCCTTCACTCTATAAGACGTCGGAGACTTTTTTTAGACGTCGAAAAAAGCTCTCAAAGACACTCAGAAACTCCAGAAATGCGTCGGAGGGATTATAGAGAGAAGTTTTTAGAGAGAAGGCAAAGCTAATGCTTGAGGTGTGTGGAAATGAGGGGGGGAGGACCCCTATTTATAGGTTTTCGCGCTGTCAGGTGGCGAGACCGTCGTTCTCGTCTGACAGGGTTGAGACCGCCGTCTCGCCCTGTCAAATGTGGCGAGACCGCCGTCTCGTCAAGCGAGACGGCGGTCTCGCCACTTGCATGTGACGAGACGACGGTCTGGGAAATTCAGATGGCGGTCTCGTCCCAACAAGGCGAGAAAACTTATTTTTTGGTACAGAAACTCCCTCCTATCCTAGTATGGGGCCTAATAGTCTATCCTAATGGCTTGTGAGGCTTCGTCCATCTTCAAATAGGAGATCTTCTGCTCTTTATTTGGAGGCCGGGCAAGATTTGGGGTCTACAGCTGTCCCCCCTTTACCCGATCAGTCGACTGCCGGCCTTTTGTGCCAAGGTGATCGACTGGAGGGTAAAGGAGTTGACCCTCTTGCCCGGTTGCCCTTCAGATACTCCGTCTTTGCGGCGGGTGATCCTCTGGGGAAATGTTGTGTTGTGCGCTTCTGGGATGCTCCTTTGACGCGATAGCTGACCCCTTCAGCTGATGAGTACGAACCATCATCTGGTTTGACGAGTATGAGGCCGACTATTTAAAATAATTAAACCGGTGAAAATACGCTTTTACCCTTTATTTGCGAAATTTAAATTTATGACTACATGGTTCTAATGTCTATTGCGTAATTTAAAATAAGGCAGTAAAAGATAGAGAGAGAAAGTAGAGACCTTCGAAGCGAGCTTTCTATTAATCTTTTGCAAATTAGGGTGCTTTTTGGCAACCCTTCACTCTTATATAGCGCCGGAACTTCTCAAAAACGCTATAAAATACTCTAGAAAACTTTCAGAAACTCCGAAAATGCTTCGGAGGGGGTCTAGAAAGAGAATTTGAAGAAAAGTCTAGAGAGAGAATGGAAGAAATGTGTGGAATGAGGAGAATGGAGCCCCTATTTATAGGGATTCGCGCCTGTCAGGTCGAGATGAGCCGTCTCGATCTTGTCAGACGAGACGGTTGTCTCGCCAATCGAGATGGCCGTCTCGCCAAACGAGACGGCAGTCTCGCCACCTTCGCAAGGCGAGATGACGGTCTCGCCACCTTCGCAAGGCGAGACGGCGGTCTTGACCCTAAATGGCAAAAACCCTTATTTTTGTGCCGAAAATCCCTCCTATCCTAGTA